ATATTTCGTTTATTAATCTAGACTAGAACATGATGAGTTGGTTCTGTCCATTATAAGCTTGAATCCTTGTTATTGTTATATTTTTAAATTTTTTTAAGATATTAGAATAATCCATCAATAGTATTTAGTATTATTGTCACTATAGCATATTATATTATAATGATAATAATAATGGTTTTTTTTTTTTTTTGTGGATATGATGGATACTTTTAATATTCTCATTAGAATTAATTCCTCCAGATCAGAGGTCCCTTCGATCTCAATCATTAGAGTTAATTTACGTTGGATACGCAAATCCAATAGATGTCAAACCAAACTGTTTGCACAACTTATTCAAAAATCAAAAAAATAACAAATAAAAAATTTCAATAAATTAAATATAAAAAATGTATATAAAACACAAGAACAATTTGAAACTTACAACATAAACAATTATATAATTGATACATCAAGTCAATTCATCGTCAACAAATCATGTATATCTTCCATCATCACATAACGCCCCTCACGTGTCCATGATGGAAGACTGTCTGATCTATCTCTACATCAATATACTCTTTATCAGTAGGAAATGTTGTCAACAATTTACCAAAAAGCCCTCCGTTCCATGTAACCAAAGAGAATATAATGGGATATTCGTTCCTTGTTTAATTTGTTCGTTTAAAAATTAAAGAAGAGGGGTGAGACGAATATAGAAAGTTTAAAAAGAAATTAAACATAAGATAAAATGTATTCTGTATAAAGTAAAAAATTTAATGATGTTAAAATTTTTTTTTTTTAAAAAAAGACATTAATTTGGAATGAACTAAAATAGTAAGTAAAACTAATAAAATGGAACCAAAGAGTATTAGATAGGCAGCACACTTGTTTTAATATCTCAAAGCAAAAGTGCACTAATGGTGCAGGCTGCGGGCACAAGAAATTAGACAAATGACCAACTCAAAAGGGAGCAAAAAAGAAATAGAATGCACAAGATTTTTGAAGGCAAATAAAATGGAGTTAATATATAAATAAAAGGAAGCATTCAAGCTGTTTGTAGAGGAGAATGAAAGCTTGCTCATGCAGCACTTTGGATGGGATTGGGGTGACAGCATCATCATCATAGCGCAGCCACTTGCCACTCGGATGGCGGGCGTCAGCTTTATAGTGACCCTTAAAAGGGTCCATCCCATGATGAGTTATCGTCACAACAAGTTCATACCTCCGATCCTGTTATAGTTATATACATAAATATGATTCGAATTTTAATTTTAAAATAAGACAATCATCATCAAGATTATATATATATATATATATATATATATATATATATATATATATATATATAATATCGAAATGTCCAGGCAGGCATTGTGAGGTAGGTGCACGCTGCGGGCATGTAAGGTGCTAAAAATGAAATATTAAAATTAAAGAAGAGTGTACAACAAGTAACACTAGAGAAGAAAAGCTTAAAGAACTTTTTGGTAAATATGCTGGTAGTTCCAAAACGATGGACTTAAAACACTATACTCGGAAAACCCCAAATAGTATACCCTATATACATACATTTTTTACTGATTACCAGTAAAAATCAGTATGAAATCTACGATTAAGATCCAGGTGTAAAAAGTGTACGAGGGTAGAAGGGTAGTTGGTGAGTTTCATTTTGTTTTTTGGTTTTTTGGTTTTTTTTTTTGTTTTTTTGTTTTTTTTTTGTTTTTAAACAGATTATGATTTCATGTTTGAGTGGTCTTTAGAATAGGGAAATGATTTGGATTTTAGAATTGTAGAGAACCTTTAGAGTTCAGCCTAATTTGAAGTTTGTAGTTTTTCAAGATTACATAGAAAATCATCTAGATGTTTACGTAGTCCATTAAAAAGATGAGAATAGAGGTGAACATAGAAGGTTTAAAAAGAAACATAAGATAAAATGTACTCCCTATAAAGTAAAAATTTAATGATGTTTAAATTTAAAAAAAAAAAAAAAATATTAATTGGGAACATACTAAAATGGTAAGTAAAATAGATAAAATGGGACCGGTAGTGTATTAGATAGCCAACACAATTGTTTTAATATCTCAAAACACAAGTGCACTCAAGGTGCACGACCAACTCAAAAGAAATAAAATGCACAAGATTTTTGAAGGGAAATAGAATGGAGTTAATATATAAATAAAAGGAGGCATTCAAGGTTGTCAATCAGGGAATTTAGTTTTTAGGAAAAAAGAAAAGAAAAAAGACATATATAATCCTATATGGTTACCTCCTATGCTTGCATCTGTGAGATCCGTCACCTATTTTTGCTTCTACTGTAATATACAAAGACACCCTTAAAAGGGTCTATCCCATGATGAGTTATCGTCACAACAATCTCATACCTCCGACCCTGTTGTAGTTATTATATACATAAATATGATTCGAATTTTAATTTTAAAGTAATTAAGACAAGGGGAAATCGCACTTTTGGTCCTTCAATTAATTAATGCCCAATCTGCAATGTCATCCTTAGTTCCTAATTTGAACACATTTGGTCCCTCAATTATTCGACCATTAAGCAGATTTGGTTCTTCTGTCTGTTACTCCGTTTAACACCGTTTAAAGCATGGGTAAAAGTGAAATTTCACATAGCATTTGTTTTACTTATTTGTTTTCAGCCCATTCCTCACAGAACAAATGCTTAATTAATGCTTTTTTCAATCACAAATCCCACCCGGGCAAAGAAAAAGTTGTTTACTTTGTTATCTAAACACAAAATTTTGTGGCTTTTTTCAATCCAGGTCAGGCATGATTGCAACACACAGTTCATGGTCGGCAGATGCCATCAAAAGCTGAAAACTAAAGATCCAAGTTTCTCTGATAAAGCTTAACACTTTGATATATTTTGAGCTTGAATTATGTATAATCACAGTTCAGACCTAATAAATTGAAGAACGATAGCTTTTTTTCGATGTCATAGTATGATATTTAAAGGAAAAAAATCAAGATTTACAATTTTATATGATTGATTTCTTTTTTCTCTGCAATCCAAAAAGGCAGGGCCAGAAAGAGAAATACACCATAAAAAAAATGATTTATTAAAAAAATAAAAACATTAATAAAAGAAACATCATCCTTTACTGAAACCTAGGAAAAAGATGCAGAAACTAAAAAAAGCAAGAAACTAATATGAAATTGTCAAAATAGTAACGAACCTGAATTTATGAAGAAACTAATGGCATAATATATTAATAACTAATAAGGTGCTAAAAAGGATAAATCTTTCATGGCAGAAAATGGGATTTTGAAAAATAACAAACTAACATGAGCCAGATTGGAGCATATCGACGAGAGGGCCGACGGCGCCGGAGAAGTGGCGTCACTAGCACCAGGGACGGAGCCAGAAAATATGTTGAGGGGGGGCAAAGAAGTAAGGATGGATTCAATGGCGGATTCAAAAAATTTTTTAGTGAGGGAAAAAAATTAAAATAAAAGAGAAAGTTTAAAAAAATGAAATACTTAAAAAGTATAACAATAAATATTGTTGGATATATCGAAAAATAAAACATATTAAAACTTTATAAAAATATTTATAACAAAATATGAAACATAATTAATTTGATAAAACAATTCGAATATAAAACACATTATAAATTACACATTCCATTATTAATATAAAGAAAGTTATAATGGAAGTTATATATATCATGCCAAAATTTAATTGTGTTAATCAAAAAAGTGAAGAAGACTGTGACATTGTCTGTTTTATAATACTTATATGAATAATGTACTATATATACATATTATATACAATATAGGGTAGGGGTGGGGTGGGGTGAGGGGGGCAGCTGACCCCCCCTGCCCCCCCTCTGGCTCCGTCTATGACTAGCACTGGGAAGTCTTGGTGAGGCGCCTGATCTCCATGGCGGCATTGATTTTATCCCCCGGGTCGTCGGAACAGATGAGCTAAAGAATCTGATTCACCACAGACGACGACGGCGTCATCATCCGTGGCGTATCCCCATCGGAACTAGTCCCGCCGACGATCGCCGCACTACAAGTAACCAACCGCGTCAACCTCTCCCCTTTCGGGTCCATTCTTGGCGCTCCCCAAAAGGCGAAGATGTATGATTGAGCAGCCCAAAAAAATCTCAGGATAGAGAGGGAGAGAGAGGGAGAAAGAGAGAAGTAGGCATTGGGTAATAAACAAGTAAAACAAATGCTATGTGAAATTTCAATTTTACCCTTGTTTTAAACAGTGTTAAACGGAGTAACAGACCGAAGGACCAAATCTGCTTAATGGCCGAATAATTAACCGACAGTGTTGTACACTTTTTTTTAATCTTTCATCTTTCATTTTTAGCACCTCACATGCCCGCAGCGTGCACCTACCTCACAATGCCGGCCTGCTGGATTGTGAGGTAGGTGCACGTTGCGGGAATGTGAGATGCTAAAAATGAAAGATGAAAGATTAAAAGAAAGCGTACAAGTAATACTAGAGAAGAAAAGCTTAGAGAGCTTATTGTGACATTCTTGCACTAACAGGTGGAATTCCAAACTGCCAGTGGGCAAATGATTAATCTGATTACCACCCTTGTAGGGGAGAAAGATTTGTCAAAATATTCATTGCCTCTGATCTGTAAGCAGAACTTCCATGCAGCTCGGTCTTGTGTTCTTTTAACATATATTATTGATCATTGAAGTAAATGTTTATGCATTCATGCAGCCACCGCCGTATTGTTGAATACAAGACTGCTTACTATTCATTTTACAGCGGGTTGAATTTGTATCTTGTTTCTATTATCTTCTCCAGAAATAGACTTGTCTGTAACTAACATTTATGATGGATTGATAGTTTTAGAAAATATAATTATGCTCCATGGTTTTACGTGGCCTTAGTGGAAACTGGAAACAATGCATTGTTCTCCCCTTCACTATTTACATAAGTTCATAAAATGTCAATTCATTTTTTTTTTCGTGATCCAGGTGGCATGTGCACTTCTTATGGCTGGTGAGGATCTTGAGAAGCATGTTGGCATAAAAAAACATTCTTGTTGATATGGGAATGAATCTATTTTCAAGTTCAGGTAAGCACTATTAACAGTTATTTGTTCACTTAAGTGGTATTTCTGCATTTCAAACACCCATTTATTTCAGTAGCAAATGATTTTGGTGTCCTTTGTAGGATGATTATCTGGATTGTTTTTCTGATCCAAAGGTTCTTGGTAAGGTATGTTAAATGGAATTCAAACTATACTCTTTTTCTTAGATCTCTATTTGACTTAAATATTTGAAATTGAAATTTATTGAGAAGTGTTTTTGCACACTTTCAGATTGGAACAGACATTGAAGACTTTAAGTGCTCTTGGTTGGTTGTGAAAGCACTGGAACTTTGTAACGAGGAACAAAAGAAGACACTATATGTAAGTTTGAAATTTAATACGCTTTTATGCCACTAGAACAACACCAAAATTAACATAACTTCACTAGACAGCTAACCTAGTTCATCTGCTACTTCACAACTTCAACAAGAGGCAATGACGGAGATGGTGAACCAACAGCTAGAGACCATGCAAGTTGAGATGGAAGCTAAACTACAAGCTGAAAGAACTCAAATGCATATTTAAATGCAAGCTCAGATTGCAAGTTTGATGGATGAGTTGCGTCGCAACGGCATGCTATCCACTCCAAGTACTCAAGCTCAACATTAGTTAATTCAAATGTTGAAAACTTAGGAGATGATTAGATTATGTTTATTAATATATTTGGTACTGGTTCTAATGATGTAACATTATATTGTTATACTTATGTTATTGTTATTGACTTTGAATGCTTTAATATAATATATTTATAATTATATTATTCAAGTATTGTATTATAGGCTTAATGCATGTTTTTTATATTAATTAGCGGGTACATTTGTTTTATTAATTTTTAGAATTTAGCGACGGAAAAATATGGTAGAAAGACAACGGAATAGCAACGAAAAAATCTGTAGTTAAATTTAGTGACGGATATTTTTGTCACTTAGTATAAAATTAACGACGGATAATTTGTTGTTTTAGCGACGAAATTTCCGTCGCTAATTGTAGCGACAGAATATTCCGTCGTTATTCGCTCACAAATTTCCTCTTCGAATCCGTCATCGGAAGAAATCTAGCGACGGATTTATTTCGTGTTGCGATGGACATTTCTGTCGCTAAAACTAGCGACGAAAATAAATTATGTTGCTAAATTCTAGCGACGAGGGTTTTTGTGACGGACGAAATCCGTAGGTAAACACTTTAGCGACGAATTTTAACTATGTAGCGACGGAATTCGTCGTCGATATTCCGGTGTTTTTTGTAGTGTTAGTAAATATGCTAGTAGTTCCTAAACAATAGACACATGCATTACTAAGCATACAAAAACCATCAGGATAGAACCGGACTTAATTGGTTTTAATTCTTCATCTTCTCTAGCACCACCTTCTATCAAATTGGTATTTGTTAAAGAAACTAATCCTCAATCGGCAGATAATGTGGTACAAACACATAACTCAACTCCAGTTGATTATTGAAACAATCGGAATCGGCAAGGCTTAGGTTTCAAGAAATTAAAGTTGACCAGACCCATCAAAATAAGTCTAATAAGACAATATTTTAGAAATTAAATCAAGGGGGCCAACGAAAGAAGTGAAAAACTTATAGAAATAAAGGAATAAAAAATTCTAGAAGAAACAAAAGTGTTCGGAAGGAGTGAGTTCACACATGAAGGACCTTTGATCCAAACAAAGTGGACCCAACTCTCGTAGGAACAAAACTTCAATTAAGTTTAATATCATATTAAAATTTTAATTTTAATCTCATATACTTTGCATTCTTTTCAACGAATAGATATAGTTCCTCGTCCACTGGAACAGATCGAAATGCCCTATATCAATTATAAAAATATATAACAATTTATGTATATAAAGAAATGCCCGACAGGCAGATTGTGAGGTGCATGCTGCGGGCATGTGAGGTGCTAAAAATGAAAGATGAAAGATTAAAAGAAGAGTGTACAACAAGTAACAATTGTTATATATTTATGTATATGAATCACCGATTGTGCCCGTCTGGATTTCATTAGAGGGTCTGCCGGCTCATCTCCACGACAAGAGAGCCATCTACTCGATATCAAACCTCATTGGCTCCCCACTGAAGGTAGATGCTTCGACACTATCCCACAATCGACCTTCGACAGCGAGAGTTTGTGTGGAACTGGATGTGAGCACCTCCCCGACGGATCAGATTTGGATCAATAATGGGTCGTATGGCGGGTTTAGCCAACGAGTCACGTACGGGTACATCCCACCGTACTGTCTAGACTGCCGTAGGTTTGGTCATGAGACATCTGAATGCCGGACTACGAAAGACAAGCCCTTGAATGAACCACGTCGTGAAGCCTTGGGAGTGACTGATCAGTGGCCTTCCCGGCAGCTGCTGCTGGTCCCTCCACGGAAAAGGTGGCACCCAGCGCCTCAAGCTACTGCACAATTGGTCATTCAACAAGCATCTGTTGATAGCCAAAATGAGCCAGAAGCTGGTTCAACAGCACTGCTGGTGATCCCCACCGTCACGTCATTGGGAGTAAACATCATTGATGATCAGGGAATTCGTCACTCACAATCTTCTGATACTCAACCCGGGCACTTATCTGAGGGGGACGAGGTACAGAACGCACAATCTTTTACCCCATCCCTGCTCGACTCTTGGAAAGAAGCGAGCAAAATTTTTGCTTTGAAACTGGGAGGCTCACAACAAGATAATTTCGTCACAGTAAGCAAAAAGAAAAGCAGGCCAAGGAAGGACTACTCTTCCCAAGTACCGGCAGTCACAACACGCCTTGCAGCGGGAAAAATCGCTAGGGTCTCTTTTTCCCACCGCCTCAAATGAATGTGCTCAGCTGGAACGTCAGGGGCCTACTATACTCACGTCGTAGGCTCAAACCACTAATTAGACGTGAGCATGTACAAATGGCTTCAATAATCGAACCAATGCTAACCCAAGACAGTTTAGCGCAGATGACACAGGCCTTGGGCTTTTCAGATGGTTTTGCCTCATCGGAGTCCAAAATCTGGCTACTTTGGACTACTGATTTCGAAGTAGAAATAGAGTGTGACAATGGCCAATTTGTTAGCTGTAATGTTGTTTATCTACCTTGGCATTTCAGATTTCGTTTTGTCTCAGTTTATGCGAAGCACACAAGGGGAGAGAGGCTACATCTCTGGGCGCAACTTGCTATTCTTCTAAATAGCCCTTTGCCGATTCTGATGGGAGGTGACTTTAACGTTATCTCAAGTGTGACGGAGTACCGAGGAAGTGCATGGCCGGACACTAATAGCATAGCTGACTTCTCATCGTTCATCCGAGATAATGCCTTGATTGACTTGGATGTTATAGGCAACCTGTACACTTGGCATGGAGTTCGAACTACTGGCCCAGTCTGGAAGAGGCTAGATAGGTTTCTCATTAATACAGTTTGGAGGGATTCATTCTTAGTTATCCGAATTTGTGCTCTAGCCAGAACCACATCAGATCACGCACCATTGCTTCTCCACGGTGCGAACTCCTCGCTCTCAGCTTCGAAACAGTTCCGCTTCCAGAATATGTGGCTAACGCATCCGGACTTCATGGAAATAGTTCGCAACAGCTGGGAGCAATCAGCAGACGGTGGGGGCATGAGAGCTCTCTCCTATAAACTAAAATGGCTCAAGACGGCGCTAAAGGATTGGAACAAGCACTCCTTTGGCAATATCTTTGATCGTATCAAAACTCTGGAATCGGAGGTAGCTTTAGCAGAATGCAGACACGCCAATAACCCCTCTGGAGAATCTAGAACAGCACTGCAAGCTAAACAGGCAGACCTCATGTTGGCTCTAAAGCAGGAAGAAAGTTTTTGGAAGTAGAAGGCTAGGGTAAAATGGGTGAAGGAAGGTGATGCGAATACTCGTTACTTTCACTCGGTGGTTAAGGACAGGCACCGAAGACAACGCATCTCCTCGGTAAAAAGTGCTGGGGGTCATTTGCTAACCGATCAAAGGGAAATATAGGAGGAGGCTGTCACATTCTACTCTTCCCTTTTCTCAGCAGAAGATTGCCCCGATCTAGAACCTCTCTTGCAATGCCTCCCCCCGGATTTGCTCGGACATGATACTCACTCTCTTGTTTCACAGTTGACGCCGGAAGAGGTCAAAGAAGCAATGTGGAAGCTAGACCCGGACAGCGCGCCGGGGCTAGATGGCTTCTCTGGTGCGTTCTTTAGACACTGCTGGGAGTTAATAAAAGAGGACGTTTTTTGGGCAGTTCAAGACTTCTTAGTGGGGGTCCCGATTCCTCAAGCTATGGCAAGTGCACAAATAATCCTCATTCCCAAGAAGGCTCATCCAGACTCCTTTGCTGACTACAGGTCGATCAGCCTTTGCAATTTCATTAGCAAAGTTTTCACGAGGGTCATAGTCTCAAGGCTAAATCTTATTCTCCCGAAGCTAATTTCTCGAGAGCAAGCAGGCTTTGTGAAAGGCCGCAGTATTCAAGATAACGTCCTGCTAGCCTTTGAATTGCTCCAATATCTAGACAAAAAATGCCGTGGTGCGAATGTGATTGTCAAGCTAGATATGATGAAGGCTTTTGACTGGGTTTCTTGGTCTTATCTAAGAGCGGTTTTAGAGCGCCTTGGCTTTCCGGCGTTGTTCGTTCACATCATAATGGCCAATTTGGAGGCAACGAGGCTCTCAATATTGGTTAATGGTGCTAGTTGTGGTTTCTTTCAACCGACTAGGGGAGTGAAACAAGGTGACCCGTTTTTGCCCTCCTCTTCATATTGGCCTCAGAAGCTCTGTCTCGGTCACTGATCTTGAAAGTAGGCGTGGGGCTACTATCTCCATACTATACAGCGCCAAGATGTCCCCCCATCACTCACTTAGCCTTTGCAGACGACATAGTTATTTTTGTAAATGGGTCATTGGCCTCGCTAAAAGCTCTAGTGGACGTTTTAAATCTATACCAAAGTGGCTCGGGGCAAAAGATCAACTACAGTAAAAGTTTCTTTGTTACCTCCTCTAAATGTACACACAGTCAAACTTCTGCCATGTCTCGAATCTTGGGAATGCAAAAGTCGACCTTGCCATTCCGTTATCTTGGGGTGAATCTTTTTAAAGGTAGAAACCGCCCTATTTACTATCACCACTTGCTTGAGAAAATTGACTCTACTTTGCTAAGCTGGCAACGACAGCTTCTCTCTCCGGGGGGCGTCTAACCTTAATTCGTCACGTGCTCTCCATGATCCCGTTGTACACTGCTTCTTCACTCATGTTACCCAAACAGATTGAAAGGGCCCTGGAAACCAGATTTTCCAACTTCTTATGGGGTATGGAAGGTGGCAAACCGAAGAGGCATTGGACCTCGTGGAAGAAAATGTGCTTCCCGTTCGAAGAAGGCGGGCTTGGACTACGATCAATTGGCAGCATTCAGAAAACTTACTCAGCCAAAATCTGTTTTAATTGGATGCAGGGAGGTTCGCTTTGGGGTGACTTTATGCGAGCTAAATATCATGACCCTCCCCAGGCAACCTGTTCGATGATTTGGAGGAGAATACAACAAGTCCAGGACTTTGTGCAGGAGCAGATAGTGGTTACTTCTGAGGGGAATGAGTGCTGGTCTCTCTCCTACTTTGGAGACTTTACTTTCTCCTCAGCGTACGAGGCCCTACGCTAGAAGGCTGGCAAAAGTCTTTCGTCGCAAAGCATCTGGGGAGGTGGTTTGCCGTCGAGGATCTCGCTGTTCATGTGGCGCCTACTTCGGCGGTTACTGCCGTTTCCGGACATCATACATTTCAGAACTTAGGAAAGCTAGATATTTTCAGCATAATGAAGAAGAAATTGCAGAGAGTTTTATTATATGAGAATGGAGAGATATTACACAAAGAGATGAAAAACACCAAACTTAAAACCTGCTCAGCTACTGCCTTTATACAGGCTACTACAAAGTAACTGCTCTCAACAAACTACAAATAATGGAAAAGACTTTTTACTCCTTGTGCTCAGTTGTATACTGCATTTTATACTTTGATACCCGCCCCTAAGCTGGAGCATACAAGTTTTGGAGGCCCAGCTTAGAAGTAAACTTGTCAAACTGAGGAAAAGGCAGTGGTTTAGTGAATCCATCAGCAATCTGATTTGCAGAAGAAACAGACAGGAGTTTAACAAGACCTTGTTGAACCTTTTGGCGAACAATATGACAATCAATTTCAATGTGTTTCGTCCTTCCATGAAACACAAAATTTTCAGCAATGGCTATAGCTGAATTATTATCATAAAAAACAGTTGCAGGTTTGTCAAGACTAACGTGCAAATCATTCAGCAAGTAGCACAACCATTGTAGTTCACACACGGTTACAGCCAAAGACCTATACTCCGCTTCAGATGAGGAACGTGAAACTGTAGGCTGCTTCTTTGCTTTCCAGGAAATAAGAGACTTCCCAAGAAAAATACAAAAGCCTGTAATGGACTTCCTGGTTTCAGAACAGGCTGCCCAATCGGAGTCAGCAAAAGCTTGCAAATGTAGTTCTGAACTTGAGGGATAAAAGATGCCTTTTCCTGGTGCACCTTTCAAATACCTCAACACTCTATGAGCCACTGCTAGATGTTTTTCAGTAGGAGCATCAATGAATTGACTCAATTGTTGCACTGCATAAGCAATATCAGGCCGGGTGGCTGTCAAATAGAGTAATCTACCAATGAGCGTAATCTTGCCACAGGGGAAAAAGTTTCTATATAATCCACACCCAACTGCTGAGTGTATCCTTTAGCCACTAACCTGGCTTTATACCTTTCTATTGAACCATCTGATTTATGTTTGATCTTATACACCCATTTGCAGCCTATTGGAGTTTTCCCAGGAGGTAAATCAGTGAGTGTCCAAGTATGATTGTCCTGAAGTGCTTGAATTTCAGCCTGCATTGCTTGTTTCCAACACTGAAATTTGATTGCCTCATTATATGTCTTAGGTTCATAATTTGAGGAGATAGCAGTGGTGAATACTCTGTATGTTGGAGATAAGGATTCATAGGAAAGAACATGATGTAAAGAGTGTGGAGAAGACCTACCATGTATCACTGGATCACAATGGTAATCTTGTAATCTGACAGGAATATGCCTTTGTCTTGTAGATCTTCTAGGCTGAATATTATGAGATTCATTTTGAGTTTCATCTGGCAAACCATTCTCTGCTGCTGAATTTTGGGCTACAGGCAACGAACTGTCATGACCAAGTGGAGAGGCAGATGGAACGCCTAAGATGGAATGACCATCAGTGGCTATATCACCTAGGTTATAATCATCTGAAAAAGATAGAACTGGCAGAGAAGGATTAAACAAATCGTGTGTCTCACTGGCTAAAGTATTTTTAGCATCATTTGTCTTGAAGGGAAACTCCTGCTCATAAAAATGTACATCTCTGGATATGAAAACTGAACCATTTTGTATATCATATAAAATGTATCCCTTTACATTAGCAGGATATCCAATGAAAATGCACTTCCTTCCTCTTGCTGCCATTTTATGTCTTGACTGTGATTGTGTGGAAGCATAACATAAACAACCAAACACCTTTAAATGAGCATAATCAGTAGGCTTACCATATAACTTCTCAAAAGGAGTTTGCCAGTTGATCACTTGAGAGGGTAACCTGTTTATCAAATAAGTTGCATGTAGAACACAATGCCCCCAAAACTGCAAGGGGAGAGCTGCTTGAAATCTTAAGGCCCTAGCTACATTTAGCACATGTTGATGCTTCCTCTCTGCAATTGCATTCTGTTGTGGGGTGTTAACACATGACTTTTGATGTAAAATGCCCTTTTCTGCATAAAACTCAGTCATATTAAACTCAGCCCCATTATCGCTTCTTATGACCTTGATTTTAGTAGAAAACTGAGTTACTACATAGTTGTAAAATGCTTTGATCAAAGGCCTTGCCTCTGACTTATGCCTCATCAAATGTAGCCATGTGAACCTACTGTAGTCATCCACTATTGTAAGGAAATAGTGTTGTCCCTGCAATGAACAAACTGGAAAGGGACCCCAAATATCCAAATGTATCAACTCAAAACAACCTGCAGTAGTGGAAGTGCTAATAGGAAAAGGTGATCTCTTATGCTTAGCAAAATGACACACATCACAAGCTAAATTCTTATTCCAAGAAGTTTGATGAAAACCACACAACATATGCATTTTAGTAATGGGAAAATGCCCCAGTCTCTAGTGCCAAACATCCATACTAATAGCATTACAATGTATCTTATTAGACATACTGAAAGAAGAAATTTTCTTTGCTGGAGGCTCTGTCAGAAGATACAACCCATTCTCTTCCTTAGCAAAACCAGTCATCATCCCATGAACATCCTGTATCAAACATTCATTTGCCATCACGAGTAAGCTACAATTTGAATGTTTGGCTAATTTACTGGCTGACACAATATTGAAAGTAAAACTGGGGATGCACAAAACATTCTTTAACCATAAGTTCTCAGATAGTTTAATGTTTCCAATATGTGAGACTTTAACAGTCTCCCCGTTTGGCAAGTTAACCACAGTTCCCTGAACAGCACTATATTCATCAAAAAATTCCAAAGAGCATGTAATATGATCTGTTGCACCTGTGTCTAATATCCATGTGGCAGAACATCTCAAAATAGAATTAATGTGAGCTATAGAAGTAAACTTGCCTTCGGGTGGATTCTCTGCCACAGCTTTAAAATCTGGAACCAAAGTTGGAGTAGGAATACCAAGTGAAACTGTTGCGGCAGTGGATGAACCCTGTCCAATCTGTGTCTGGATAAGTGTGATCAATTTCTGGAGTTGCTCATTTGATATTCCAATATCTCCAATTTGATTTGCATTTGCAGAGACTGCTAACTGATTTACTTGTCCTTGAACTTGTGCTTGTTTTCCTTTGGACTTATAGCCTGCAATCCATCCCGGGGGGTATCCGTGCTTTTTGTAACATTTGTCTATGGTGTGACCGTTCATTCCACAAAATGTGCATTTTGCTGCAGACTTGTTTCCACTGTTAGTGTTGAACCTTTTTTTGTTATTGAAATTACTTGCATTATTTGAACCAGAAACAACAGCCACAACTTCTTCATTCATTTGTTCTGTGAGGCTACCTTGACTGGCATTAGCTTGCATTATATCATTCCCACTGCATCCAATATTTGTGCCACTGATTTGTCTTTCTAGTTTGAGTGCCATTCCAAACACTTTATAGACATCTGGCATAGGATCTAGAACTAAAACTCCTGATTTAATACTAGTAAAATCATCATTTAGTCCCTTCAAAAAACGGATTACCTGATCATCATCACGTTCCTTTATGATTTTCTTCACAAGCTCACATGAACATCTAGGAGTGCATTCACAAACAGGTAGCGGGCGTAATGCACTCATTTCTTCCCACAATGTTTTGCACCTTGTGTAGTAGTCAGTAACACTCAAAATTCCCTGTTTATTATTGTAGATTTCATCCTGGAGTTCTGAGATTCTGTGTGGATCTGCTTGAGAGAACCTCTTTCTTAAGTCCTCCCATATGTCCTTTGCCTTTTCAAAATAGATAACACTCTGAGCAATTGAAGGACTAACTGATTTTAATAGCCAGGAACTCACGATCATGTTGCATCTCCTCCAAGCTCCATATTCAGGGTGTCCAACATCTGGAACGGAAATGGAGCCGTCAATTATTCCCCATTTGTTCTTAACTTCTAGGGCTATTCTCATCGATCGACTCCATGAGCTGTAATTAGACGCGGTCAATGAAGGAGATACAAGCACTTTATTCGGATTCTCACTCACATGCAGAAACAACGGATTTTCATAGTCTTCCGAACTTGCACTCGCACTTCGCTGCGGAAGCGACATTGATGGAGGACGCTCTATTGACGGAGCTCCGTTGGATTCTGCATCCGCCGAGAGGACCGCCACATAGCTCATATTGCGGTGCTCTGATACCATTTCAGAACTTAGGAAAGCTAGATATTTTCAGCATAATGAAGAAGAAATTGCAGAGAGTTTTATTATATGAGAATGGAGAGATATTACACAGAGAGATGAAAAACACCAAACTTAAAACCTGCTCAGCTACTGCCTTTATACAGGCTACTACAAAGTAACTGCTCTCAACAAACTACAAATAATGGAAAAGACTTTTTACTCCTTGTGCTCAGTTGTATACTGCATTTTATACTTTGATAATACAGGAGCTAGGAGTGGTGTGTCAACCGTCTGTTTGCCCTTTCTGCCATTGTGACTCGGCATCCATGGAGCATTGCCTCTATCATTGTGCAATGGCGCAGCAGGTTTGAGGCTATTTTGCAGGACTTTTCGGGCTTTCCCAAACTCAAGCGAGCTCGGTTAGAACAGCGTGCCATGCATGGTGGCTGCTAACGCCATCCTCGGCAATCAGTTGGTGTGCAAGGCTTATACCTGCTATCATTTTATGGACCCTGTGGTGCTCCTATAATAAAGGAATTTATGAAGATACATCTCTATCACCGCCAGAAGCCATCAACAGAGTGCGGCAAGAGATTTATTTAATCTCTTTAACGCGTGAGTGTAACAGAAGAGGACCGACCGATGACTTCCTTCTCACGGCTGGGCTTATATCTCGTTTTGGCCTAACGCCTCGAAAGGTTACGGTGTGGGTACGATGGCTAACACCTCCAGCGGGAAGGTTAAAGCTCAATTCGGACGCGGCATACGCGGCTGGAGGCGCCTGCTTGCGCGATTCCAGTGGTCGTCTAGTAGTTGGGCTTAGCTTCCGCCTTGACGCAGCCTCAGCTCTAGAGGCCGAAGCTGTTTCCTTGCATCTTGCTACCCAGTGGTGTTTAGCCTTTTCTAAGCGCCCATCAGAGATAGAAGTGGACTCAAGAATTTTGGCTGAGTTGATTGCGTCTCGCACAGACAGAATACCATGGAGAATTAAAGCCGCGGTGGCTTTCATTCGTTCTTGCCTGAGCTGCTGGAATGCCCAGATTAGACATATCTACCGGGAAGCTAACCGGGTTGCCGACGCGCTTGCTGAATCTGGCCTTGCTTCCTCTCACTCGATGATCTTTGTTGATTCTTGTACTTTGCCTGAAAAGGCCAAAACAGCTCTTTTGTATGACTTCAGAGGCTTTGCCTCCCATCGCGCTATTCCCCATCAATAAAACTCTCTCATTTATTAAAAAAAAAAATGACCAACTCAAAATGGAGAAAAAAAAAAAAAAGAAATAGAATGCACAAGATTTCTGAAGGGAAATAAAATGGAGTTAATATATAAATAAAATTAAAGGAGGCATTCAAGGTTATCAGTTAGAAAAAAAGAAAAGAGAAAAAACAGACATAATCCTATATGCATAATGCATGGTTACCTCCCATGCTTGCATCTGTGAGATCTATCACCTATTTTTTCTTCTACTGTAATACTATATGTACAATGAAATATCATATCCGCAAATGGCTCACTCTGGATCAGCAAATTAAAATAGCGCAACTCTCAATCTGAATTGTAGAAGATAATGTAAGCTTGCTCATGCCAGCATTAAAAGGGTCCATCCCATGATGAGTTATCGTCGCAACAACTTCATACCTCCGACCCTGTTGTACGTAGTTATATACATAAATAATATGATTTGAATTTTAATTTTAAAATAAGACTATCATCATATCAAGATCATATATATATATATATATATATATATATATATATATATATATATATATATATATAAAGAAATGCCCAGCAGGCAGATTGTGAGGTGCATGCTGTGGGCATGTGAGGTGCTAAAAATGAAAGATGAAAGATTAAAAGAAGAGTGTACAACAAGTAACATTAGACCACTATACTCGGAGGACCCCAAATGGTATTCCCAATATACATACTTTTTTTTTTTTTTTACTGATTGTCAGTAAAAATCAGTATAAAATCTACGATTAAGATCAAGGTGTAAAAAGGGTACGAGGGTAGAAGGGTAGTTGGTGAGTTTCATTTTCTTAAAAAAAAAATAAAAAAAAAAAAAACAGATTATGATTTTAGGTTCGAGTGGTCTTTAAAATAGGGAAATGATTTGGATTTTAGAATTGTAGAGAACCTTTGGAGTTCAGCCTAGTTTGAAGTCTGTAGTTTTTCAAGATTTCATAGAAAATCATCTAGATGTTTACGTAGTCCATCTATACAAAAGGTGTACAATAAAAATCTACAATTTCTACAATCCTCATTTATATATGTATTTGCTTTGAATCAGACCCTTATTATTTTTTCTAAATCTGTTCCACAATTAAATCAGTGAAGGCTGGAATAAGGAGTAGGGGGTGGGGAGGTATATAGTAAGAGCTTTGGTAAGGGTAAAAAACATATTTCAATGTAGATTATTATGTTGGGTATACCCATGAAACATTAGGTATATGAACAATGATAAGGTAATTATCATTGGAGTATTTTGATATGGAAAATCAATAAGTGATTAGAAGCTCAAAGTAATGGAAACACAATATATATTTTAGATGGAATTGTTATAATAATTGTAATTTATAGAAAGATGGAGTTAAGAATTGATCATATCGAGGAAGTTTGACATCCAAATGCCCTTGCCATAAAACTTGAGTTAAGCCGGCCTACGCATTTCAGGCAAATTATATCGTGCACCGCGATTACGGAACCTTCCTAAAAAATAACTCTGTTCTTCAGTTTCATTTTGTATACATTGCAGTTTCAGTTCAACACAACTACAATTTCATTTCGATATAATTACAGTTTCATTCAATATTTATACACTCAAATATGTGAAAATGTTATTTAATTTTATTTTATATACACTATAGTTTCATTAAAACACAACTACATGATCATTTCAATATAATTACAGCTTCATTGTACAATATACACTCAAATATGTGAAATGTTATTCAGTTTCATTTTATATATACTGTAGTTTCATTTCACCACAACTACAGTACCATTTTGATATAACTGCAGTTTCATTTGATAATATAAAAATAATACGTGAGACAGTGTCGGTTTAGACACACTGTAGTGTCACTCCGTTATAACTGCAGAAACGACGCCGTTTGGACGCGCGGTGCATAATCGATTATGCACCGCGGTCCACGATATAACGATTGAGCATCTCATTTGGTTACAAGGGTGAAGTTTGGGAAGAATGACCAGAGATCGAGTCTCACCAGCGGCAGTGTGGGAGCAACCTCTCAAAGTGAGGGGGGCTCCGCTTTTGCGCAGTAAGCAAAGGTCTAGCCTCTGTGTTCAGCTGAGTTACCATGATTTACACCCTGAGGGTTCCGCTTGTGCGCAGTAAGCAAAGGTCTAGCCTCTTTGTTCAGCTGAGTTACCATGATTTAAACCATCCCAGATGCGCTGTCGGGCCCTTGGGGTTGGGGATTCAAACACCCAATAACATACATGGAAAGTTGATATATAGTTTAGTGAGCATTATTTTGTCATTTGTGTCAATTTTTCAACAATCTTATTTAGGACTTTAATATGTTCAAATCTACTGCACTCATTATTAAGAATGAAATTTTGCCGTGAACCTTAAACAAGCTGAACCTGAACTTCTATTTGATTTTTAAACTTATATTAGATTTTGATCGATTAATTTTTGTTATTTAATGATAGTAAATAACATAAATTAATCGATCAAAATCTAATATAAGTTTAAAAATCAAGTAGAAGTTCAGGTTCAGCTTGTTTAAGGTTCACGGCAAAATTTCAATTGGTATCAGAGCCTGGAGGCTTAAGTTACTAGTCTTTCGATCTGACTTTTACGTGTGCCTTATTTTTTAGTGTTCTGCGGTTTTTAATACTGTTCTTCTTGTTATTAACTTGTTCAATCTCACTTGTTGATAAGTGTTTCAGAATGGAAAGGTTCAGGCCACTTCCCCAGCTTACAGGTGACAAATACGCATACTGGAAGGCTCGAACAAGAACTCACCTTAAAGCTCAAGGAGATCAGATTTGGCGGGCGGTACTGACTGGTTGGACACCACCTACAAAACCTGGAGAAAAAAACGGTGATCCACCAGTGATAAAACCTGAAACCGAGAGAACTCAAGTTGAAATTACTACTGCTGGATATAACGATAAGGCTCTTGACACAATCTATTCCTTAATGCATGAAAATCAATTTTCGTTGGTTACAGGTATTGATTGTGCAAAAACTGCGTGGGAAATACTCGAAACCACCTATGAAGGTACGAGTTCAGTCAAACAGTCAAAGCTTCAGCTGGTAAAGACTGAATTTGAAGAACTACGTATGAACGATGACGAAGATATTGCGAGTTTTCACGAACGCATACAAGAGTTATCTAATCGAGCAACAATTCTTGGTAAACCTTTCTCCCAACAAAAACTTGTCAAAAAAAATCCTAAGATCTTTACCTCCGAGATTCAGGATGAAGGTAACCGCTATTCAAGAACATGATGGTTGGGAGAACAAATCAGTGGCTCAACTAATGGGCAATCTCCGAACCTACGAAATGGAAATTCTTACTGATCACACCAAAAAACAAAAGACAGTTGCATTTGTCGCTGAAGAACATGATGATACCGCTAACCCAGACGAATCAGGTGATGATCCAATTACATTTTTAACTAAACAATTTTCTAATTTTTTGAAACAGATATCTCAGAAGAATTCACAAAACAAAAAATTTCAAAAAGGAGCAAGCTCAAACATGTCGAAAACTGATACAAAAACTAGCATGTCAAACTCAAAACCTGCTGCCTCACGTCCAGCCCGCTCCAGGGAAAAATCAAAAAACAAAGGAATAAAATGTTACGAGTGTGAGGGCTTTGGTCATGTTCAAGCTGAATGTCCAACTTATCTTAGGCGAAAGAAGTCCATGACAGCCACAACTTGGAGTGATGACGAACCTGAATCAGAAGCTGCTGGCTCTGGCGCAGAAGAAATGTTCGGTAATTTTGTAGCTTTTACTACTAGAGTTGCGACATGTTC